ATCCTTTAACGGCCCCATGCTGCCACCTGCTGGGCATTTGACAAATGCAGCAACAACCATTTGCTGAAGGAGACTGCTTTTACAAAATGGCTGCAAACTACCAGGATGCAAATTGCAAATCAGAGGATTAAGATGAGGTAGTGATGGTTCCTAAAAAAAGATTACGTTTTCTGCTCCTACGGAGATTTAAATTGTCAGAAACCCTATACAAGGTCGCTGCGAGTCGGAACCGACTTGATGGCACTAAACAAGTGGTGGTTCAGTATAGAATTCCTGCCTTTTCTGTGAGACATTATGAATCCCAGCCTAAAAGCACTTTGTGCGTTTGTTGTTAAGTGCCATAGAGTCGGTACCGACCCATAGTGACCTTATGTACAGCAGATTGAAACACTGCCTGATCCTGGGCCAAACTCACTACTGTTGTCAGGCTTGAGTCCATCAATGTTGCCACTTGGCCAATCCATCTCATTGGGGGTCTTCCTCTTGTTCTCTGACCCTCCACTTTTCCAAACATGATATCCTTCTCCAGTGACTGGTCCCGCCTGATAATATGCCCAAAGTATGAGATGAAGTTTGGCCATCTTGGCCTCCAAGGAGCACCCTTGGCTGCACTTCTTCCAAAACGATCTATTGGCTCTTTTAGCAGTGTGTGTGTGGTCACTGCTTTTCTGTCGGTGGAGATTTACATGTTGCTATGATGGCATCCTGGTGTGATGCTGTAAGATAAGCACATGACTGCTAACCACAAGGCTAGCGGTTCAAATCCACCAGCCACTCCTTGGAAACCCTATTCAGGGTCGCTGAGTTGGAACTTAATGTGATGCTAAAGAGTCCTGGTGTGGCACTGGAAAATAAGCACCGGACTGCTAACCACAGGGTTGGTGGTTCAAACCTACCAGTTAGTTACTCCTTGGGAACCCTATATAAGGTTGCTGAGTCAGAACCAATTCGATAGCACTTAACATGCTTTTCAACAGGGCTCCTGGTTGTGGTGCTGTGGGTTAATGCGCTACAACTGCAAGGTCTGTTTGAACCACAAGGTTGGTGGTTCAAGTTCACCAGTCACTCTTCAAAAACCCTATCACAGGGTCGCTATGGGTCAGAACCAACTCGATGGCACTTAACTGGTTTCAGCAGAGTTTTCAGACTAAGAAAGTGCTGGCAATCTACATCTGAAAAGTCAAAAGCTTTATGGACCACAACTGTCTGATACCATTGTGCACAGGATTATATTAAAACTGAGAATTTTTAGCAGGCTGTTATATGCCATCGACTGTTCCCACTCACAGAGACCCTGTATAGGGTTGCCAAAGGCTGACTAGTGAGTTTGAACCACCGACCTTGCAGTCCAGTGCTTATCCTATAACACACCAGGCTAACAAGTATTTAAATGCTTCTGAACTCCTAAGCACAAACCCTAGCAGCCCTTTCCTTCCAGCTTGGTACAAAAAAGGAGCATGACCCCACAGGAACCCAAACAAGAGCTACTCTCTTCTGCCCTGCTGTGCACAGATTTATCAAGTGATCTGTACTTGTCTGCCAGCAAGCAGAAAAAGCACTTCATGGCAGGGCAGATTCACTTACCTTCCTTAAAATGCCAGCCTGTTCATTCCCACTCATGGCAAGCAGTGGCACTATAGAAACATGGGCCTGCTAACTGTTGGGTTGGTGGTTCATGCTCACCAGCCACTCCTTGGAAACCAAAACTTGCCCTTGACCCTAGCAACTCTTCCTGGTGACAGGTAAATGGTCCCCAAGCAAGGCCTTCCCATGTTAAATGGCGTCAAGTCAGTTCCATCTCCTAGCAATCCTGTACTGGGCTACCAACCAGTGGTGATCCTACAGGAGTTCCGTTTGTATTTAAAATTGGTGACTCATAGTGACCCAGTGTCAAAATTGTACTCCATAGAACCTGCAATGCATTTTTTAAGCAGGTAATTTGGACCTTTCTTCCAGGGACTGACTCCCATAAACTCATTCCGTGGTTTAAAATGTATTGCCAGGCCTTTCTTCTGACGGTCCACAGGGAGCCTTCCACAGTTCAAGACAGTTCAGTAACTATTCATATATTCTTAGCAACCAAATTAATTTTCCATCCCAGCAGGAAACCACCATTTCTTCATAGGTGGCAGTCGACCAACCCCACCACTTGTTAATGTAGTGACTGTTCTCAGTCCTGTGCTTCCTGAGACTTTAATCCCTCATAGGCAAGTGTAAATTGGACAATCAATGAGGAACGTAGGATAGTTGTTACACTGGAATTCCAGTGGATTGCTAAAACAAATCAATATTCCAAGTACAGCCAAAATACTCCTTAGAAGCCATACTTTGAACATATGAACATGTCCCTGAAGACATCAAGCTTGGTGGAGGGTCAGTGAAGAGGTAGACCCTGAGATGGACTGGCACAGTGGCAGCAACTGGCTCAGGCAGTATTCTGTTCATGTCTTAACATCTGACATTGGCTAAGTACCATCGTCCAACCCACAGCGACCCCGTATAGCGTTTCCAAAGAAAGGCTGGTGAGCTTGACCCACTGACATGGATCAAACCGACTTTGCAGTACAAGGCATTAGCCCACAGACCAACACCGGACTCCACTGAAAACAAATGTCATTGCATTCACTGTCAAAAAGAACATTTCAAGATCCATATTGTCTACACAAAATACCAACTAACAGTGTTTCAATTTACACACCAACCAACTAAAGCAAGGGATGAAGCAACTGGAGAAGTCTAGCAACTTCTTCAGTGTGAAATGAATGAAACTTGTAATCAAGATGAACAGGTAATTGGAATGCCATATTTGGAAGACCCCCAAGATGAATAAGCAGCCGCAGCAATGGGCTCAAGCACAATTGTGAGGACAGGCATTTTCTGTTGTATAACAGAACCTTGGAAGAGAACCTACAGGTGAGGCAGCAGCTAAGCCGCATCTGTATCACTGAGAAGAGGTGATTGCTATGTAACACACCAACCAAGCAGTTTTGAACTGGGTTGAAACCCTATCCCCAAAATCACACGTTAGAAAACATTGGCTGTATTAGGTTTGGCAGCCATAATTCTGAACCATGTTCCTATGACTCAATGGCTTATTTATTCCGTGGTTTAGGGTGACACACAAGCCTGCTAGAAATTGAGCACTATTAACTATCCAAGGGGCACCTGTCACATTAGGTTTCAGTGACAGGGAAGGTTCTTGTCACCAGGTTACACTAGACTCCAAGGATCCACTCCAAGTTTAAGGGGTTTTGTCTCTTTAGTCCTACAGTTTGGTTAATCAACCCTCCGTGTTTTGCGGGTTCCCAGCTTCCACCACTTGCTGTCTTCTCCCGTTTTTGGTTCTTGTCAGACCTGGAATAGCACTGATGACTTTTCCCCAAGCCATACAGAACACAAAACCACCTTTCTCATGGGTTTGGTAGTCTTTTATATGTAACAGACACCAATTTTGATTAGGTGCTTTTAAGTAGTCTGGTTTGAACCAGTAACTCAGGCTTTGGATCTTACCGTCTAGCTGCCTAAAAAACTTCCACTGCCCTCTCACCGTGATTTATAATTCTTTGACCCAAGAACACAGGTCTTAGACACCATCCAGTAGTGCCCCATTCCACACCACCATGCTGAATGTTTAGGACACCTGATCCTTAGACCTGCTACAAACATGGGGGGCAGCTACAAAACCAGTGACATCAAAGCATCCACAAAGCCCACAAAAGCCAGTTCCCTTGGCAGCCATCTCAGTGTGGCTGATCTAGTTGAGACCAAGGGCCCCAGCCTTTTTAGAAGGGGAGATGGTGTGTGCCAGGTCTGCGGAGCAGGCTCTGTGCCAGTCTCTCCCCTTCCCCCATGACATTCCAGAACACTGGAAAACACAAGTCTGGCACCAGAGTTTAGGACTTTTTAATTTGTCCCAAAGTCGCTGAAGCAAAAACCATGATAAAACATCCTGCTTGCCTTTATACCCCCCAACTAAAAAAAAAACAAAACAAAAAACAAAAAAACTATTTGTAGGAAAAAAATGGTTTTGTACATGGGATAAAACTTAATATAAATTCAAATCC